GTCAGAACTGTCCACCACGACCTGTCCATCTTGGGTAGCCTTACATGACATGGCTATTCACTGAGTTAGACAAGGCTGTGGTCCATGTGATTAGATTGGTTCGTTTTCTTTGATTGTGGTTTTTAGTCTGTCTCCCCTCTGATGGGGAAGGATAAGAGGCTTATGGAAGCTTCCTGATGGGAGAGACTGACTGAGGGCCAAACTGGGTCTTGTTCTGATGGGCAGGGCCATGCTCAGTAATTCTTTAATCTAATTTTCTGTTGATGGGCGGGGCTGTGTTCCCTCCCTGCTATTAACCTGGGGCCAAACTATGGTGCAGGTAATGAAGATAATGTCACCTCCTTCAAAAGATCCCCTGCAGGCACTGCTACAGCCAGTGCCCCACCCTGCAGCAGGCCACCTCTACCCACGCCTCTGCTGGAGACTCCTGGACACTCACAGGCAAGACTGGGTCATTTTGAACATAGGTGTATAATTATCTTTTTGAATCTTGCTTTCAGTTCCTTCAAGAATATACCCAGGAGTAGACTTGCTAGATCATATGGTAATTTTACTTTTAATGTTTTGAAGGACTGCCATATTGTTTTCCATAGCAGCTGCACCATTTTATATTCTCACTGGGTGACTGCTTCTTCATCTTCTTCATTTAACTTTTATGGTCAAGCACAATGACCTTCAGTTTTTTCAAGTACTAAGTTCACTCTTATTCTGGAGGTTTTGTAGTAGTTTTTCCTTCTGTCTATAAAGCTTCCCACCCTGAGGTTTACTTGACTGACTCTTTCAGATTATTCGCCTTAGATTCTTCCATGGAGTGTCATATAAAAAATTCAGTTTTATCCTATATCCTAGCTTTCCTAGACCTCCTGGTTTCTTTGTTTACCCTTAAATTTTTTGGCCTTATTTCCCCCAAAACTCTATTCTCAGTAGCTAAAACTATGCCTGACCCATTGAAAATGCACAGTAATTCTTGAAATGTCACTGGGATTAGCCTGGTAAATTTCCCCAGCGGGCTATATGTGAACCTTGATCATTAGTGAAAGTCTGTATCATAATTCAGAGAATAATAATTGTTCTTTAGAAATAAATAAAAATGAGGCAGAATTCATAATTCCATAGTCAGTCAGGAATGGCAGTTAACCTAGTTATCTTGACTCTGGTAGAAATTTGCAGCCTTGTTAATTTGGATGTTTCAGGCAAAATATGTTCTTCAGTTTAAAATTATTTCAGTAATTAACTTACTGCTTCTCTGTGCCTTAAATATGCAGTCTTTATCCTCGAGATATTTATAAAATCTTTCATGAACTCTCAGACAACAAATTTTAGTTTCGGTCTTCAAACAAAGAGTAGTCACATCACTTAACCTTTCATAGCAAATTTTCTAAATCGGTGTTTTATAGTTCATCCCAGTAGTAACCACTTTCATAATCTGTAAGCTCAGCTGTGTAAGGCAAAATTCATGCAGGTGACATAAAAGGAAATTTTTCTGTCTTTATTTTGAGAAGTGAGTTCAGTTCAGTTCAGTCACTCAGTCGTGTCTGACTCTGTGACCCCATGAATCACAGCACGCCAGGCCTCCCTGTCCACCACCAACAGGAGCTTATTCAAACTCATGTCCATCGAGTTGGTGATGCCATCCAGCCATCTCATCCTCTGTCGTCCCCTTCTTCTCCTGCCCTGAATCCCTCCCAGCATCAGGGACTTTTCCAATGAGTCAGCTCTTCGCATGAGGTGGCCAAAGTGAGTAGGTAGGCACAAATGGGTTATTCCAGATTATAAACAATCTCCTAAACAGTTATCTTTATGATGAGGTCATACATTTTCAATGACATAAGTCTAATGCTTGACAGACACCATTCCTTCTGGCCCAATGATATTAATTGTGTGCTAAGAGTCCATTAAATATTTAGATGAGAGGTAGTATATACCCTTATGTATCAACACACTTTTTTTTATCATGTCAAAAAGTATTTGCAGGTTTGGATCTAGGATTGAAACTCCTCTTATGAAGTGAAGAATAAAGATGAGTCATGTACTGACAGCCACTCTTCTTTAAGAGTCAGTTTGTGCACAAATTTCCAGGGTATCCTTAAAGCTTTGACAGACGTAATTCTGTGGCTATTAATTTAACTAACTTTCGGGGGACATACTCTATGGCTTGCAGAAAAACAAATAAATATTTATTCTGAAAATGCTTTTTTCTATTCTGAGAGATGTTGAATGTTGTCACTAAAATCATCAGGCTTTCATATTATTTTGAAAATGTCATAAATGAACATCAAATGAGATTAAACAGGTTATCTTGTTGTTTCAAAAAATTGTTGCAAAAGCTTCAGATATGCCAAACAGAATTCATTGGAGAACTCATTACACTGCAAGGACACTGGAGAGCCTCCATAGCAACTGGGTTGAAAAGTATTAATCCATCCCCTTCATCTCTTTTATTGCTTTTACTTAGAGTTTACAGTGAGAAGTTCTTCTCAAGCATTCTGTTCTGTTGTTAAGGTTTATATACACAATTTGAGATGATTTTTTTTTTTTAACACCTTTGCTTATTATATCTTTGGCAACTTCTGGGCAGACCAATAGTAGCTTATCCCTTTTGTTCACAAATGAGTATCGTCAAAGAAGAAGATATCCATTCCCTTAGAAGACAGAGTTGATGTAGCATCTTTAGAATGTATCATCTTTTGAAAAGCTGTTAGTATGATATCTACTTTAAAAACTTCAATGAAAGATATGCTTCCATATGTCACTTAATCCAGTAGAAGATTTTGTTGAAAATGGATAAAGTTTGTGGTGGGGATTGCATCACCTTTTGCCTTACACCAAAGAGAAAGATGAACTGTAATATTACAGTTAATCATCAAATTCTCTTACATATTTAACATGTGTTCCCTTCAGAGCTTTTCACTTGTGAGAGAAATAATATACACAGTTTGAATAAGTTGAAACCACTAAGATGTTTGAGTATTTATCAATTGCCAAGAACTGTGCAAAGCACTTAATGAACTATTAAAGTTTAGATGGGGAATATTCTTTCTTAAATTTTTTCCTAGAGTGTATCTTTGATTTTCAAAGACTAGGCTACAGGCCTATCAAAATATGTATCACAGTATATTGTAACTGCCTTTTCTCTTGTTTGTCTTTTCCATTAAACTATTAATATAAATGCCGAGAGTACAGGCTTTATGTCTGCCATATTTATTCTCCTGTGATCTGATTGTCATGAGTACCTAACCTTTATACCTCAAACCTAGGAGGCAATTTATTGTATTTATTAGAATTATGATCAGTGTCCAGAAAATACCTCATTTCTTTAGAGATAGGATCATAGGGAGCATGGTGATATAAAAATCAGAATGTCAGTTTCTTCATTTGCAACACACAATCTCTTTAAAAAAATTTATATCAGGATAGCAAGTGCATTTTCTCTATAGTAGCTAACTAACATCAGTTGGTTCTATTCAAGGCTGGAGTGTTTCGGTACTTTATTTCATTAAATCTTCTTCCCGCCATATGAGACCCTTACTATCTTTACCTTCATTCTGCACATGAGGAAACTTTGACATAGAGAGGATAAATCAGGTTTTAAGATTTCATATCTCATGAATATCTAATACAAATTTGAATGCTTTTCTTGATTACTTCCAGAGCTCAAGCTTTGATTCAATCAGTATTTGTAATGCCAGTTTAATTCATAGGTAAACTCAGAGAAGATAATTTGAGAAGGACACACAGCTAGTAAGTGGCAGAGCCTCTTATTAAACCAGACGTGCACACTCCAGAGTCTGTGTGGCTTTACTCCAAACCACTGTCTCATTTCTTTAGTAATAAATACACTTTGCACAGATGCAATAAACCATGGGTCAAGTACAATCCCATTCATGCTGAGCAAATCATGGCCCTAAATTGTTTATCCTGACAATTTCTCAGGAAAGGACTGCTACATTTATTTTCATCTCTAGTTAAATCAGAGTAAATAATCTTTGGGCAAGACAGTTTTTGACATTTCAATTCCCTTTCTATTATTCTTACATCTGCCTTGATTTTACCCCTTATTAATGATACCTAACGAGAAATATTTTGCCTTATCATCCTGTTCATGGGTTCTCACAGCAAGAATACTGCAGTGGTTAGCCAATTCCTCCTCCAGTGAAATTAATTTTAGACATGAAACTAAAAGATGCTTGCTCCCTGGAAGGAAAGCTATGACAAACCTAGACAGCATATTCAAAAGCAGAGACATCACTTTACCAACAAAGATCTGTATAGTCAAAACTATGGTTTTTTCAGTAGTCATGTACAGATGTGAGAGTTGGACCATAAAGAAGGCTTAGCACTGAAGATTTGATGCTTGCAAATTGTGGTGCTGGAGAAGACTCATGAGACCCTTGGACTGCAAGGAGATCAAACCAGTCAGTTCTAAAGGAAATCAACCCTGAATATTCATTGGAAGGACTGTTGCTGAAGCTGAAGCTCCTATACTTTGGCCACCTGACGCGAAGACCCAACACATTGGAAAAGACCCCGATGCTGGGAAGGACTGAAGGCAAGAGAAGGGGGAGACAGAGGCTGAGATGGTTAGAGAGCATCACTGACTCACTGGACATAAGTTTGATTTAACTCTGGGAGATAGTAAAGGACAGAGGAGCCTGTTGTGTTGCAGACTGTGACGTTGCAAACAGTCAGACATGACTTAGGAGAAATATATGAGAAAAAAAGAAGCTTAAAGAAAAAGAAAAAATCTGTTAGAATAAAGATGTGTGATGTTGCAGTGCTTCTGGAGGGAATTCGGTATCCTCTTGTGCTTAAATTCTATGAAAGTCAAATCAAATGTGGAAATCACATCAGAGGCTGACACCAGGAGGAACTTGGGCATTAAGTGATGCACCATTTGAGGGTCTGTGGATCATGATATTAAGCCTTGTTTAAGTGGTGCATTTTACCATGCTCTGTGTTCTAATATGAAAGATGCTGATGGTCCACCTTTTGAATTCTAGAGTCTCAAGTTCCTGATCAGCCAAGCTCTCTTCATGTGAGGCCCCAGACCAACTGCATCATCATGAGTTGGACCCCTCCCTTGAACCCAAACATTGTGGTGCGAGGTTACATCATTGGATATGGTGTTGGGAGCCCTTATGCTGAGACAGTACGTGTGGACAGTAAACAGCGCTACTATTCCATCGAGAGGTTAGGTAAGTAGCTGTGAATTTTCCTCTCTTAAGGAAAAGAAATTATTTCTATTTAATTACTTTCTCTTTTGGAAAATTGCTCTTTGGAATTTTATTTCAATTTATTACATAACTTATCATGTGATTATCCATAACTCTTTTTCTATCTATCTTTTATCAGTCTACTCACCTATCCTTCTGTACACATACATGCATTTTTTTTTGTTTGGACTTTTAGTTGGGAAATTTAGACAGATGCAGAGTAGTGGGTGACCTGGTCTGTACCCAGCCTGTGTGTCATAAGAATACAAACAGTGCACTGAAACATTTTTTTTTTGCTTTTTCCTCTGTCAATGGAGACTTCTAATCTTAACAATTCTTACAAAAAGAGTCAGCACATTTTTTTTCTCACTAGAAAGTTACTGTTGACTTTTCTTTAACTTTGAATTATATCATCACATTATCTTTTATCCCAGTAGTATTTATAGATAAAACTTGGTGGCTTTCATGACAACAAGACTTTTTTAAAAAGAATTTTCAGTCACGCCAGTAACTTCGGGCATCAAACTCCTCTCCACATATCATCCTGGTCCCCCTCAGTTCAAGTTATTTTACTGTGTTTTACCTCATTGCATTGAACATAATAATTCTAACGTGATGTTTCTGAATTCATTGAAAATTTATTTATTCAGAGAGAGTTAACATGTATAAAGTTTTCATACTCATTTTATATCAGATTTTCCATAATGCAATAAGAGATTATATCATTAGCAGAGGGAAATAAAATGAATCTATGTCATATGTAGGGTGCCAGGAAGTTAAACAGTTGTCATAAAGCAGAAGGCGAGTTGATGCTACCTGTTGATTTAACATGATATTATTTGCACTGAAGTACAGTGACCTTCTTGGTGGAAAGGCAGCCTGATTGGATTGCTACATATTTGCAATGTCTCTCAGAAATGGAGCATTTGTGATGAGAAGCCTGATTTGAATTTGAATAGCTAAAATGCAGTAGCAAGGAAAGGCTTTGTCAGTGCTGGAGGAAATCTGCACTGACCCATTCTCTCAGTAATTGCTTCAAACACTAATAAGAGGAACACCTTCTGCAAATCTGCACAATTTTAGTTCGCTTGGCATTTGGAAATAATATTCCCTCCGTCAGCCCCTGAGTTTGAATGCAGGGGCAATCACAAAATTCATATTTTATGGCCATCAAACCTGTGTCAGGGGACTCTGATTTGTCCATTATTCAGTATACCACACCATCTCTGACAGTTCATCTTGATGCCGCACGCCGGAGGGAGAGAGGCCCGTGGCAGTGCACAGGCTTTCCGGCAGTGCGGTCCTGGTGCCAACTCACAGTGAAGTCATGAAGGAAAGCTGCGTTGTTTCACCATGTGCTTTTGATAATGGTGCTTCTTATTACAAAGAGACTCTCCATGAGTTTCCAAGTCTAGTAAAGTTGAGGCATTTGAGAGATTAATACTGTGGCAGATCTTTGCAAAAGCTTAAAGAAGAGATTTTCCATTGTTAAGATATGTTTTAAAGAGCTAGGAAAACTGATAAAGGTAAAAATGGAATAGGAACCTGTCTCAATGACAGAGAGACATGCGTATGCACAGTAAAACTTACCTGGAGAGAGAAATTACACACACAGCCACTCCCTCCCCCCCACACACACATATGTTTCTAAATTCTGTTGAAACTTTTTACATAGTACCATGTCTTAACATAGGGCTTCCCTGGTGGCTCAGATGGTAAAGGATCCACCTGCAACGCAGGAGACCTGGGTTTGATCCCTGGGTTGAGAAGATCCCCTGGAGAAGGGAATGGTTACCCACTCCAGTATTGTTGCCTGGAGAATTCCATGGACCGAGGAGCCTGGTGCACTCAGCCCATGGGGTCACAGAGTTGGACACGACTGAGTGACCAACACTTTCACTTTCATGTCTTAACATAAAATGTAAAATAGTTGTTTTATCAGTGTTGTTCCACTATCTCCATGGTTATGCAAATAAACTGGTATTCTTTTAATATGGATTTCCATCATTTGGCCAAAATAATATGTTAAACATAGCTGAACTTCTAATTTTTATAGAGATAAAAGATTCATTCAAGCCTACATTTGAACTCTATAAAGAAACCATCAATGTTTTATTTATTCAATTAAATATTAAAATAGGCATATCAGTTTTTATAGTATTTTTTCAGAGAGGTATTTAAAATGCAATTTTAAAGCTTTTAATCTAGATATTTTATATGAGGCTTCCCAGGTGACTCAGTGATAAAGAATCTGCCTGCCAAGCAGGAGACCTGGGTTTAATCCCTGCATTGGGAAGATCCCCTGGAGAAGAAAATGGCAACCCACTCCAGTATTCTTGCCTGGAGAATCCCATGGACAGAGGAGCCGGGCGGGCTCCAGTCCACAGTGTCGCAAGGAGTCGGACATGACTGAAGCGACTGACCAGTTTTTATGTATGTATATGTATACATATATATATGTTGCAAACAAACTGGCAAATTGGAATTACAAACGTGTTCTCAGAACAGAATTCACTCGTATGTAGGTGACTTACTGTAAAAGGCATGAAGATCAGAAAATAAGTATAAAACTGTTTCCATTTGCATATGATATACTCATTAAATGGAAAATGTCAGAGGATCTACAAAACTACTGTTAATAGTAGAACAAATAGTTGAATTTAACAGGTCTTAGGACATCAAGGTTAATGTTCCAAAAAAAGAGATCTGTTTGCCGCAAACAGCTGGACAATAAATTTAAAGATACATGTCATGTATGTGTACATCTTTGTCTTTAAAGATACATATATAGATAGATAGATTTATAAGATAAAGATATAAATGTATATCTTTAAATATATTTTCCAGCTGTTTGCTGCAAATAAATTGATTTCTGAATGACTGCTGCAACCTTTGTGTACTATTCTATGTTCAGATCCTGTGCTTCAAAAACTAACAGCACTTCCTCAAGTAAAGAAAACACTCCCATTTCCTGCATCTAAACCTACACTCCCAACCCACTTTCCTATGCACTTGCCTCAGGCCCAAGCTGGTGATTGATCTTATCAAAGGGGCACGCCCCTCTACTGGTTGCCTTGGTAACTAGTGAGTCCACTTGACTCAACTTCCCTAAAACATATTCTTCCCCACCCTCCACCCCCCACCCCCTAGCAATGTCCTGCCAGTCATCAGCAGCCAAGGGGTGGGGTGTGGTTCCAGGATCTTGCTTCAGACCTGTAAGCGCCCCTGTCCTTCATCCATTAAGCCATGGATGTCTCTGTTGCTCACTCTGGGCTCTTCAGTCTTGAAGCTGGGCAGCTACAGGGCCTGCAGGCCTGAAGGGTGCAGTCCAACAAGGATGTTAGTTGTAGGGTCTTCACAGATGTCTGTTGTCACGTTGAAGTAGCTTTTACTATTCTAGCTTTATAGGAGTGTTAACCATGAGTGTTTGTTGAATTTTCATGAAATAATTTTCTGTCTTTTGAGATGATCCTATATGTTTCCTCTTTAATCATTTCTAATATTGTTAATCATATTGATTGATTTTTGAAAGGTAAATGCCCATTCTAATGTTGTAGGATTTAATTTGTTAATAATTATTAAGGTGGTTTTTTTTTTTTTTTGCCTATATTCATAAAGTATACTTGTCTATGAGTTTCTGTTCATTTAGTGACTTTCCAGTTTTTTTTTAAACTAAGCTTATACCACTCATAAAATTATGTGAATTATTGCTGTTTCTGTAGCTGAAAAAGTTGTGTAAAATTGTTATTTCTTATTCCTTGAATATTTGATGAAATTCACTAACAAAACAACCTGTATCTGAGATTTCCTTTTAGGGAAGGATTTTGAAATGAATTAAATTTCTTTAACATATGCAGATATTTTAATATTTTGAATTCTTTCTTGTACTGATTTTGGCAAGTTAATTTTTTCATGAAATTCATCTGTTTTATTTTGTCACATTTATTGCTCATTCATGATATTCTCTTACTGTCTGGGGTTATCTATGGAATAGCTATTTTTACACTTTTGATACTAATTATTTATGTTCTCTCATTGGTATCATTTTTGGTAGGGGTTTGTCAATTTTGTTGATCTTGTCAAAGAAAGAGACTTTAGCATTACTAATTGTTTCTATTATCTATTATTTCTTTCATATTTGCTCTTATCTTGACTATGTTCTTTCGTATACTGATTTCAGTCATAATTTGCACTTTTATTTGCAATTTCTTAAAGTGAAATTTCATAATGTAGAGATTTTAATCTATTAGAACTTCCCTAAGCACCACTTTCTTTGCATTTCACAATTTTTGCATGTTATATATTCATTATCATTTAGTTTAAAATATATTCTGATTTTTCCTTGATTTCTTTTTGCTCTGTGACTTATTGTGTTGCTTGATTTTCCAATTTTCAGTTTTCCTAGATAGTTATTATTACTGATTATTTTTATCATGATTAGAAAATATACTCTGATTTCACTATTTTTACATTTGGTTTATTTTTTATTATTTTAGTTTTTATCCAATTTTTATTCAAGTATAGGTAATTTAAAATGCATTAGTTTCAAGTGTAGAGCAAAGTGATTCAGTTATCCATATATATATATGTATATATATATATATATATAAAATATTAATATATATCAGTTATCTGTCTATCAGGTCAGTCACTCAGTCGTGTCCAACTCTTTGTGACCCCATGAACCAAAGCAGGCCAGGCCTCCCTGTCCATCACCAACTCCCAGAGTCCACCCAAACCCATGTCCTTTGAGTCGGTGATGCCATCCAGTCATCTCATCCTCTGTCGTCTCCTTCTCCTCCTGCCCTCAATCTTTCCCAGCATCTTTTCCAATGAGTCAGCTCTTCGCATCAGGTGGCGTAAGTATTGGAGTTTCAGCTTCAGTATCAGTCCTTCCAATGAACACCCAGGACTGATCTCCTTTAGGATGGACTGGTTAGATCTCCTTGCAGTCCAAGGGACTCTCAAGA